AAAAAGCAGCCTTTTGTCAAATTATAAGAACAAAATGACTTAATACAAAGAAAAGGAATTTTTTTTCGAGTACTTTTAAAGTAAAGACAACAAAAAAGATAACAAAGATCTAGATTGCAATTAATTTAAAATTATTTCTTAGAATTAAATTAAATGGTAAGATCAGAAAATAGAGAGAAGGGATACAATAGTTTTTATATATAAAATAATTTATTTAAATTTTATTTTCAATTTACAGTCATGTGGGAAAGTCGATTCAATGAATTCGGCTGATTTAAACAATTCTTCTTACTTCTTCTTAACGGTTTAGTTTAGTACTGTAAGATACAAGTACTAAAATGTAATAAAATATATACTTCATCTGTATCGTTAAAAAGAGAAATTCAAGAAATTAAAATATTGACATACTATGACAAACTTGTTAGCTAAAATATAATTTAAAAAAAGTAAAACTTGTAATATTATGTGAAAGGGATTGATGTTTCTGAAAGTAAGTTGTAAAAGTCTAAGTAAAATGAAGAGTACAAAGTAAACTCTACATATTTTCAAATTGTCCACATATGACTACAAAGATAGTGCTGGATTAAAACTTAATGCGCACTTTTGCAGTTCCTAAAACAAATATATTTAAAACTTGTAAAGTTTTCTTGTTTAATTGTACTTTGTACGCAACACTCGAAATACAAATAAACAGATGAAAATGATTAGTAAAAATTACAAGATGCACACGCGAAATCTATAAATTAGATTCCGGACATTTTTTTTTTCCCCAAATGTTCTCTCCTCCAATGTATCCCGTTAATTGATGATCCTTGTCCAAGTACATATACATATGTTTTGAGCAACACTTACGTGTTGCTTTAGGTACCACACTCCAAATCAGCCAAGTCTCGCGCGCGAGGAATTACCAAGGAATCCTCTCATGGTGGGAATTACCAAATATCATTTACGGTACCTGTGATATATGGGATTCCAATATGGTGAATCCTCCGTTTCCAACACGTAACCCAATTGTACAGAGCGGAATAATAGACGCGTTAACCGACGTGACTGTCCGTACTCGAAGAACGGACTTTCGCGGATATTTTGATACTCGTCAACGATTGCGAATGCTCGATAAAGCGAGAAGATCAAAAGAGACAGAAAGAGATGGGAGGAGGGAGAAGAGGGGAGGGGAGCGATCTAGAAGCGTGAAGAACGCGATTGAACGTCTTAACATGCGCATACTGCGTATAATAAAAGGATACACAACAAGCCGTTGTCCCATGTCCTGAATAAAGTTGGCCGCTTGCTGCCGATAGCTCAGCTCCTTGTCCCCATCGATGCCGCATCTTCTGCTCGGCGTGTTTGCAAGCTGTTCTCTCGTGAAATACCATCTTTCGTCAGCCGCCATTTATATGTACACACGATTCACCCGTAAATTACGGGCCGTATAATCCGTAAACGATACACACTCTTGACGGGATTGTCGCGTGGTTAGAACAATCCAGAAGTGGGGAGGTAGAGAGCTGAGGGGCGAAGTGAGAAGCGGCACTTGGTGCACTCACTCGAGTCACGTCCAGCCACTGCCACGGCGGCTACAGTCACGCCGCCTCGTTCTCGTACAATTGCGTACAATCTCGAAAATGGCGCCGTGGGCGCGAGTGACGCAACGCGATTTACGCGATGCGATGAGAGGCGAGATTTCTTAAATGTCGCGACAAAAAAAAGAACTAAGCGTCCTCTCGCGTGTCACGTGTCACACGGACACGCGTCCCATGCGCCGAAAGGCGCGGACGGAGTCCCAAGAGTTAATCACTCACGGGCTGGAACAGGTTACCTGAAATAATGAGTCTCGATGACTCGCCACTCTCGCCAGTCGCTACTCTCTGCGCAGCACGTTTGCGAGGAAACGCGTGCAGCGTCTTAACGTCGCGACGTCCCGTTAACGTTGGCCAGAATCGGACATTGTCGTCGAACGTACATGTATGAAGGAATACACGTGTATTTTCAGCTGATTATCATTCCCATTAATACACGGGACGATCGTCGATGTCCACAAGAACAAGAACAAGCCGTACTAATCTCCGGCGTATCTCGTGGAGGCGATGTATCGTCATTGCGTTTGGCCGGGCGAGAATTCGAACGTTCTCGAAAAATCTCTCCCTCGCGATGATATTCGACAATTTGACGCTAAAACGACCGACGATGCATTAAGTACATCGGTCGCGTCACGTAACGTACGTTGCGTAACATGCGTGGCCGAACCGCGTCGTCGTAACCACGTTAAAACCTTCACTTTCCTCTTCCTTCCAGGAAATTCACGTCTTCGCAAACGTGCACCGTACACCTCCACCGACGTTAAGTCGCCTCGCCTCCGGAGGCCAGCCAGCGCGACCGCGTCGCACAGCGCACTCACGTCTTACGTAGCGCGCTTTGGCACCGTGCCCGTAGATGCTTTCGCTTAGATCACGGAGTGGTACGCTAAAGCCTGTAATCTACAAATTGCATTAATGTAGTTGCAAGCGGTTGTAAGAGACTCCGTACAATAAAAGGAACAGGGAACAGAGAATAGAATAAGAATTTTAACCTATCAGAAATCATGTATTGTGGAATACAGTTTCTGATAGGTTGAAATTCTTATTCTCTGTTCTCTGTTCCTTTTATTGTGCAGAGAATTGATCAGTGGTCTAGTTTCCACCGAAGGTTTAATCCGGATCAGAATGTTAAAATCAACCAATTACAGTCCAGTATTTCCCTGTTACAGTCGAACGACAAGGGAATGCTCGATTGTAATTGGTTGTTTCTTAGGGTAAAATCACGACTGCGGAATAGAGAATGCGTCATAGAAACAACCAATCAGCGTTCTGCATTATTTCGAAAGCGCTAATTGGTTGTTTCAATTCGCATTCTCTATTCCGCAACTCTTTTCCGCGCCGTGTGATTTCACCCTTACACTACACATTGGAAATGATGGCCTCAATTCTTGAAAAGTATTGCATACGTAAAACGAGGGAAATTAAATTAACAATAGTATGCGTTACATATACTATAGCATTTCCTTGCAATACTTTTCAAGAATAGATGTCAAAGTCTGGGCACCTATTATGGAACAAAATCGGAATGGATTTCGATCGGAAATATTCAATTATTCTCTAGATTTCTATTATGTTTTCTGGAGAAAATGGAATCATTCCCTAAGGTCTATTCGCGGTGTTTACATTTTTCTCAAAATGAGATAAAATATATTTGACGAAAAAAAAGATGATGCTAAAACTCTATATTAATAGCGCAAAAGTTTGCTATATTGAACCTACTAATCATAATACTAAATGCTTATTGGATTACAAACAATTAGATCTAAGATGGCGGTCAAAATAGCCAATAGGAAAGTTGTCAACAATTTGGTTTAGATCAGGGCTCGAAATTAGTTGCCCATTTCGGGCAGATTCCTGAGACGATCCCCACTACCACTCGAGACTCGGCAGCAAATCTGCCTGAAATGGGCAATTAATTCCGAGCACTGGTTTAGATCAAAGAAATGCGCTACATTGAGTGCTTTCCAATTGCAATATCCCTAAACACTTTCGTGCACACGGCGACACAAGTTCCAATTGTCCGTCGATACAACGCTACATATTTAGGGTGCGTTTCAAAACTAGATTCTGAACTCCAAGTATCTTTTATCTTTATTCAACATTCGGTGACCGACAAGGATAAAATAATACTCGAGATGACAGAGTTGAATTTTGGAACGCAACCCTGTACTCAGTCGAGGACTGTGTAAGCTTGTGTTTCCTAGTAACAATTATAAGGCGTACGACTTTGCTTATACCATTTTTTTCCGAAATTCGAGGCTTTATTGTAAAAAACTGGTTATATTAGGTGCGCAACTAAGTTATAGCTGTTATTTTGATGAAAATGAAACTTTATTGTGAAAAAATGGTTACAAATGAATCATTGAAAGTATTGCCGATCGCTAGCTACTACTTTTTCCCATTTTTCTGGCAGAGCTCGTATACCATCACGATAAAACTGTTCACTTACTGCTGGAGCCATCTGTTGACAACAGCGGGAACTTAGTTCCGCACCTAATACATTTGTGATTCAAAATATTGTCCATCGCTGGCCACTACTTTCTCCCATCTTTCGGGCAGCATACGAATCCCGCGTTGAAAAAACTGATCATCTTTTGAGGCGATCCACCAATCGATCCAATTTTTTACTTCTTCATAAGACCGGAAGTGCTGGTCAGCCAGGTCGTGTGCCATTGATCGAAACAAGTGATAGTCAGAGGGAGCAACGTCTGGAGAATACGGCGGGTGGGATAGGACTTCCCATTTCAACGTTTCCAAGTATATCTTGACCACTTTCGCAACATGGGGTCGAGCATTGTCATGCTGCAAAATCACTTTATCGTGTCTCTCGTTGTATTGCGGCCGTTTGTCTTTCAATGCTCGGTCCCACCAAATACAGAGCATGATCTTGGAGCCGTGAATATTCGGTTTGGCCGTCGACGTGGAAGCATGGCCGTGATTCCCCATGATTTTCTGCGCTTGGGATTATCGTAATGAACCCATTTTTCGTCCCCAGTCACAATGCGATGCAGAAAGCCCTTCCGTCTTTGCCTTTCAAGCAGCTGTTCACAAGCAAACAAACGCCGTTCAACATCTCTCGGCTTCAACTCGTACGGCACCCAATTTCCTTGCTTCTGAATCATTCCCATGGCTTTGAGACGTTTTGAAATGGCTGATTGAGTCACTCCTAATAATCGTGCCAATTCTTTTTGATTTTGACAAGAGTCTTGATCAAGTAATGCCTTCAATTCTGCATCTTCGAAAACCTTCTCTCTTCCACCGCAATGCTATCTTCGACGTGAAAATCACCGTTCTTGAAACCACTTACGACACGTTCTTTCACTAATAGCGGCTTCACCATAAATATTTGAAAGCATTCGATGAGCCTCAGCTGCAGATTTCTTCATGTTGAAGCAGAAAATTAAAACCTCCCGCAAATGACAAGAATTTGGCTCGTAAATTGACATTTTCAATCGAGAATAACTTTATGATGCAGACACAAATCGACTAATGTTTCGATGGGGTTATGTTGATAGATGCCCAAGTTTATTGTGTGATGTCTATGATCTACTTATTACGATCACCACTTACCGCTAAAGCTATCTATACGAAAACGATATAAGGAAAGTCATACACCTAATATATTAGGTGTAATAAAAAGAAATACATTATTTCTCCAATAGATGGTTTTAATAATCTGTATCTCGTTTACGCGTGATACGTTAGTAACGTATGTTACTAACTGCGGAAGCTATAAGCGAGTGTGCCTTTCAATTTCCAAGCGACACAATGGAACACATTACATCCTTGCTAATATTAAACAAAGATGACATGATCACGTCGCATCGTGTCGCTTGTTGGAAAGCACACGAGATTGAAAGACGTGGAGTGGCCACATTTACTTGTTTTTATTTAATATAGGCGGAAAAAGCTATATCTAACTCTATGTAGAATTTTAGATGGCACGTGTTAAGATGCAGCACGTGCTTACAATTAGAGATTATGACTGTGTTCGCTTTAACGTTCATAACGCTTTAGTCCGGATCTACAATAGATGTCTTAAGCTTCAAGCCGTAAGAATTTGATCAATTGCAATCGAATGCGTGGAGAAATAATAGATAATTGATTGTGATTCATCCATTCTTGGCTTAAAAACCTATTGTAGATTCGGAGTAAGTCCTGCAATAGATTTTTTATGGGTTTCCGACACGATGTTTTGAGGCCATTTTCAGACTTCGAATTAGTTTCTTATTAGTTTCTATTACTTCGTGATGAGAATTAAACAGAAGAAGAACAGAAAGGAAACGTTCTGATACTCATTAAAGTGAGGATACATTGACACATGAAGCGCGGAAATACAGAAAAAGTACTTAAAGGTGCTTTTTTATGCTGACGCTCGACACTCACTTTCGGCATTAAAATAAGTTACGTAATAGAAATTGTAAATTCACATAAATTATCATTAAAACTGTACGAAGAATGGAGCATTAAATTGGTATGACTTACCATACAAACTGCAAGAACGATGTCGTGACGAAAGCGATATCTCGATGGAACTATTCAATTGCTTTGAACACGTTTATTAATGGCGTCGAGCAAGTTCGGCGTGTGGCTTCTGCACGGCAACATTTGTCGAGCGGAAGTTGCGACAGACAAGCGACATCTCGCTTACTCGGAAGTAATATTGTAGATATACAATTTTCATTGCGTGACAAAAGTTGAATCCAATTCAACTTTTGCCACGTGGCGAAAGTAGTATTATATCAAAAGGTAATATAAAAGAAAGGCAAAGAGCCAATAACGTATAAAAGAATTATAATTTAAATAAAACTAATACAAAACAATTAAAATAAAATAAAACAACCGTTTCAACTCCAATCGAGTTATTTTCAATGCAATCTTACAATAATATAAATATCGTTCTAAATTAAAAATTTTGCACTGTAGTCTTTTTAATTTAATGAAAATAATAATAAATTATGTACGAATTTTTATCTACGTCGGTAATGCAAATCTGAGGCATTGGAGTGCTTTTATGTTATAGCATATGTCACGTATACTGTAGGAAAAGAGCACTTCTATGCCTTAGATTTGCATTACTGAACGCAGCTTTCGCACCGTGTGATTTCACCCTTACATCATGCCATTAGCCTAGTTTCCACTGAGGGTTTCAACCGGATCAGAATGTAAAGTTAACTTTTCATCATTCAATTTTCACATTTTTTTGCAAATATTACAGATTTCCTCAGCTTTGAATTCTTTGCTGCTCATTGTTCGTTCGATTGAACTTCAATGAGATGCGGCAAAATGTATTTTGCATCATAAGTGCGACATCTCATGTAAAATTTTCAATCAATAGCAACGAATTGCTGCTGCAGCGTGCTTCGCATGAAAAGGCACCTTAAAAGAATCAACCAACTACAGTCGAGCATTCCCCTGTTCGACTGCAAAGGACTCCGCACAATAAAAAGAACAGGAAATGGAAAACAGAGAATAAGAATTTCAACCTATCCGAAATCATGTATTGTGGAATACATGATATAGTTTCTGATAGATTGAAATGATGAAAGAATTGATACTCGACTGTAGTAGGTTGATTCTTACATTCTGATCCGTTTAAACCTTCGGTGGAAACTAGGCCATTATTGGTCATCTTTTCACTCTAACTTGTCCGCGTTCCTTCAATACTGCAATTGCTACAAATGTGCAAATCCAACTGATAGAACAGAATAAAGGACAAAGAGTCGAAGATCGAAACGAAGCAAAGCAAAGTAAAGTAAACGTCTTTTGTCATTAGAACGAAAGCAAA